TAAATATGCTGTATTTTGTTCAATTTTCAAGGAGATCTCCAAGCGCTACGAACTTTTTAATAGTTCTATCGTATTCAGAAGATCAAAATCTATAAAAAAAACACTAGTGTTTTTACTTACACCTTTTGGGAATCAAAATCGGCCCTTTGTTAATGACAACAATGCTTAGGTTCGTTTATTGGTTTTTTATTGCACTCGAGACGCAGTAATTACAATCAAGACAAAGGTGATGGTGTGCCAACGAACATTGCTTACTATCGAACTGAACTCTCACACACTACGCCCTCTCTCGCTCTCTCGACCTATCGATCTGTTACTGCTCTCGATCTGAGCTACTAACTTAACGCGGAAATTTTAATTACAGAAATAAACCTTAACATCTTTTTATCCTCCTTTTCTTTTATAAACATCAATCGTATTTTTTAATAATTAAACAACTTAGCATACTCCATTATTTGTATTAAACTTGACATATTTAATAAAATAAAGCAATTTGCTACAACATAAATGTAAATAACTCAGTATGTCCGCGAAATTTGTATATATTAGATTTTTCAGATCAGGACATTTTATGATTACATCGATGAATTTTTACTTCGCATTGCAATTGTAATAGCTATTATTGCATACATGTTCACTGCTAATTATGTCGGGCAAGATATTATGGATCACAATAATCACATATTTGTTACTGTGTAAGAGGCTATTTTGAAATATTATTTGTACGTGTGTTTATGTGTAAATGTGAACTTTATGAATATCTATCTTGAAGGTAAATGCAAGCACGTGTTACTTATAAAATAAACAACGTACTGAATATTATTTATGTATATTTCTTTCTTTTTTAAAAAGATTGTCGACTTTTCGTATTACTGCAGATACGCTGTTCAATGGTATGTGGCTCCCTTACACATACAAAGAATTATACTTTTTCTATTACAAATGGGCACAAAAAATTTTAATTTGAATGTTGGTGGATTGTTTTTTGCATCAATAGAATGTTTTGCGACGGTAAGGAAATAATATACTATGTATTGCAATTGTATATACGAGTACATATGAATAGTAAATACACTTACTTAAATAATATCATTGATTGTAGCTGGTGAAGGCTTCGGTATCTTACTTTACTGTTATGTATTCAATAGCATAATAAAGTAAAAATAAAATAAGATTAAAAAATGAGAATATAAAATATACATAATTAACAAAAAAATTCTCGACATTATTATTTCACATTTTTGAACATTAAAAAGGCTATAATTTGAGTATACTGATTAATTAGAAAAGTATTACTTAGAGAACATAAAAGATTTCAAAAATACAATAGAGAAACATAAAAGATTTCAAAGTTTTTTAATCAAAGACGTTGATGCATACCATATCGAAAAACAAAGATTACGTATTGCTACAGAAAATCATTATAAGAGTTATAATATTTTTAAATCTTTAAATTTAAATTTCTTGATGGCATGATATCTGTTGAAATCTGAAAAATATACAAAAAACATAAACCTATCTCTATGTTCTAAGAGAGAAAGAAAAGAGCATTATATTACTTGCAACAATCTGAAACGTTTAATAGTATTTAAGATTGAAAAGACGGACATGCTTTTTATAATAAAGATGGAATTCCTACGAGTTCGTGCAACAAGAGTCAAGAATAAACCGTGTAAAAGTTTATATAAGTTTCAAGTACGCAACTTTTGTACCTTTTGCGAAAATCTCTCACGAGTTCTCTCACGAGTAATTTTTTTATGCGAGACAGAACACCTGCTGAATTTCACTGGTATTAAATCGATCGCGTAATGGTTGATTTTCTGAAAAACGTTATTAAATTTATTGCGATATTCTGATCTCTCTCTCTTTCTTTCTCTTTCACTATAATAACTTGTGCCTTAGGGCCATCCATATATTATGTAAGCATGACTAGGGGAGAGGAGGGGGTTAGTCAAATTCTGATAAATAATTACATGGGGGAGGGGAGGAGGCGTCGTACGTATCCTTACGTAAGATTTTTCATATCTGCTGCTGTCATGAAAAACGAGCAATATTAATTTTACATCGGGCATAATCGGGAAAATCTTTCATAATTAGAAGGGGAAGAGGATTCAGAAATTCTGACATTTGCTTACATGAGGGAGAGGGGAATAAAAAATAGCCATAAATATGCTTACGTAATATATGGACGGTCCCCATCTTACGTACAAACGACATTAGAAAAATTGTGTTATTTACATCAGAAGAGAGAAGCTATATGTATATATCAACATAATTTATCGACGAAAGAAAAAAGGAGGGAATAAGCGTACTTTCGATATCTTTGCAGTCATATTTTGGAAATCTCAGAAAAATGATCTGTGTTGAGACACAATATTTTAATCTTAATAAAATTCTTTAACTCGCTGTAGGCTCGTGGTCTCATCAACAAACGAAATTTGCCCGATTTCGGTTATTTTCTTTCTGGATATTCTAATAACTGCTATTTTATTTCAAGTAAGACTATAACTTCTTTTTTTTTAATATTATCACTTTAAGATAAGCTATACGATATATATATATATATATGTATATATATGTATAAGTTTGAATTTTGTTGTCGTTCTGTGCTGAAAATTCTGTTTTTTAAAAAATCCAGAATATTTTAAATTGTATTTTCTCTAGATCTAAAAAATTGGCTACTTTTAAAAAAATTTAGTAGATAAGTCTAATG